CTATCTATCTATCTATCTATCTATCTATCTATCTATCTATCTATCTATCTATCTATCTATCATCTATCTATCTCCCTCCAATCCTTTGGCCACCTTATGAGAAGGAAGGATTCCCTGGAGAAGAGCCTCATGCTGGGAACAATGGAGGGCAAAAGAAAGGGACGACAGAGAAGGAGGTGGCTGGATGGAGTCACCGAAGCAGCCAGGGTGAGCTTCAATGGACTCCAGAGGATGGGAGAGGACAGGGAGGCCTGGAGGAACATGGTCCATGGGGTCGCGATGGGTCAGACACGACTGCACAACTAACAACAAGATTTGGATGGTGTTTGTACTGCAAAAATTCAAATAAGTATCAGTGGGAATGTCTGCGGAGGTTCTCCGTCATTCAGGCCATTTTTTTTTTTCCCCAAAAGGCAGCTGGACTTTCTTGCTTATTTTTTTCAGTTGAAAATGTTTTGCTTCTCATCCAAGAACTGACCCAAAGAAGCTTCTTGGATGAGAAGCAAAACATTTTCAAAGGAAAAAAAAAAGCGGGGGGTGGGGGGAACAGGGTCATAATTGGGTCGTAAATTATGTGGGGTCAGAGTTGGCTACACTTGGGTACCTGCCGACATGCTGCTCCTAATAAATAATTGGATTTCTTTGGAAGCTTGGCTCGAGGCTCATGATTTAATTAGGGCATCCGTCGGAAGCCTGACATCTCCACTGTGATCATGCTAGGTTTCGTAACGGATGCTGGAGACGTGTCCGCATTCTAACCAGTCTCCTTTTCTTTCCAGTAGAAGAGTTGCAGGCTTCAACCTCTGTGCAGCGTTGACCTGGGAGACGATTGCCTTGCTTTGTCATTGGACTGGTCCACGGGACGAGAGCAGTGGTAAGTGGCTTGAGGGCCTAGCCCTATGCTTCTAAGATGTCTGGACTTCAACTCCCAGAATTCTCCAGTCAGCATACCTATGCAGCAGTGGTGGGTTTCAAAAATTGTTCGAACCTACTCTGTGGGTGTGGCCTCCTTTGTGGGAGTGGCT